GAAACTGACCATTTTCTCTGAGACATTGTGGTGTCATACTTGTATTTAGTTGATGATTGTATATTGGTATATTATCAGGCACTCCCCACCTGCCTCCTGGTGGATGAGGTCCAGACTAGAAGTGTGAATGTAGTTAGTTCTTTCTTCACTGTTTTGTGTTGTATAGTTAAGAACAGATTCACATGTCTCCGCAAGTAAGGGTGCTATGCCAGACAGCCAACTCCAGGCAAAGCAGAGGCTTGCTGACTTCTGGGTTTGCAAGGGCAGGGGCTGGGCACACCCCTGGCTACCAGGAGGGCACAGGAACAAGGGAAAATTGCACCCCCCTTGCTGCCACCCTCCAATTGCAACCCACATAGCTCTGTATCAGCAGCCACTCACCAAGGTCAAGATGGCTGTGTTGAATCATGGCAGCCCATAGTCCACCTGCTTTTCTTCTTTCTTACTGCTCCTGTTCTGCTTCCTCTTCCACTCAACCTTCTGTTCACCTCTCTGTCTTATCCTCATATGCTCAGGGTTCAGTATCATCATTTCTGTCTGTTTCACTCACATGTCTGCTTACTCCAGCATCTTGTCCTGGGCTCCTAAATATAACATTCCTGTGGAAAGTGATCATCTCAATTTTGTTTTGCCTTTGTTCAGACAGATTCTGAAAATAATAATGATAAATTATGTAATCAGAGCCTAGAATAAAATGTAGGCCTATATAAAGTCCTTAATTATTACTGGAGGAGCTCTGGTAGCATAGTGGTTACGAGTCAGGCTGCTAATTTCACAGTCAGCAGGTTGAAACTGCTAGGGGTTCCATGGGAGAAGGAAGAGGCCTTCTGCTCTCAAAGATTTACAGCCTCGGAAACCCTATGTAGGGTTGTTATGAATCAGTACCAACTCCACGGCATATAACCACCACCACCATTATTACTACGGGGTCCTGGTGTGGCACTGTGGGTTAATGCTCTGGACTGCAAAGTCATTTGAACCACAAAGCTGGCAGTTACAGCTTACCAGCCACTCCTTGGACAACCCTATACAGGGTTGCTATGAGTCAGAACCTATTCAATGTCATTTAACAACAACAATAATTATTACTGTAAGATTTTGTGAAGTCCCATGATCACAACGTCTTACAAAAAATTAGAGCCAAATCTTGTCTCTGACATTAAACTCTGAATGTTTTAAATTGTATTTTTGAATCTCTGAGGGTTATGGGTACTGTACACATAGAGTTTTGCACTGAGGAAATACTATTAATTGTGTTGATTACTCTTTGGTGTGGTAAGTTTACATCTATATAGCTGATTTCAAGAAAAGATTCTGAAATGTGAATAACTGAGAAAATGTTTCTTTTGTGCCTGATACTTTATGATTTCTAGTTTGTTTATTCTATGCATGCACTTTTTTTTTCTCATTTAGTTTCTACCAGTCCCTGAGTTGATGCCTTTTCGTCTGACTCGCCAGTTTATCAACCTGATGTCACCAATGAAAGAAAGTGGTCTGATGTACAGTGTAATGGTTCACGCACTAAGAGCCTTTCGATCACACCCAGACCTACTTACTAACACCATGGATGTGTTTCTAAAAGAGCCTTCCTTCGACTGGAAAGTATGCTTTGTTTTATACACATTTTTCATTTTGTTATAATGTTCCAGTAATTGATCCAGTTTCTCTTAGTATACCATCTGGAAATGTACCGAGTCATGTTTAGTAAAATACTAAAATTATTCTATACTGCATTTCTCAGAATTAACACTTGGAGTCATTTGACCTGAATACCAGATAAGAAACAAAATCTTCTTTGGTGAAAACAGTTGTTTCAATTGAGTTTATAACTGGGAGAAGCCCTAGTGATAACAGTAGTTAAGCACTCAGTTGCTAACTAACAGGTCAGTAGTTCAAGCCCACCAATCACTCTGCAGATTAAAAGACCTAGATTTTCTGCTCCCCTAATAATTACAGAAGGAGCTCTGGTAGCGTAGTGGTTACAAGTCGGACTGCCAACCTCAAGGTCAGCAGTTCGAAACTACCAGCGATTCTGCTCCCGTAAAGATTTACAGCCTCGGATACCCTGTGCAGGCTCACTATGAGTCGGAACTGACTCCACGGTACTTACCAACAACAAATGATTACAGCCCAGAAAACTCTATGGGACACTTCTGCCTTGTCTTGTGGGGAATTGGTTTACAACATAAAACAAGTAACTGGGAGAGGTGAAGGTGAGAATGGACCAGCTATTGCTCTGAGACAACTTTTTGTTCACGAGAGGTTTTCATTGATCATAAAGCTAGAAATTGAAATCTCAGAAGTTCTTCATGGTAATTAGCTCCCAAATAATTAAGCCTAGTAATATTCACCCTTCATAGCTTCCTATGGCAATTTAAACCTAAAGAGGCCTGGTGTGGCGCTGTAAGATAAGCAGTGGACTGCTAACGACAAAGCTGGTGGCTCAAATCCACCAGCTGCCCCTTGAAAACCCTATACAGGGTTGCTATAAGTTGTTACCAACTCAACAACACATAACAAACAAAAATAAAATATAGCAAGGGTGCACTGGTGGCGCTGTAGGGTAAGCACTGGACTGGTAACCACAAGGTTGGCAGTTCAAACCACCAGCCCCTCTTCTGGAAAAAGATGAGTCTATCTGCTCATGTGAAGATTTATAGCCTCATAAACTTTATACAACAAGGTTGCTGAGTCAGAACCAGCTCAGTGGCACCTAACAACATCATCCCTCAAACTCATTTGTTGTTCTTTTATATATAGTATCGTAATTTCATTAGAATTTGTATGCGTGCTGTTCCCAATTAGTAATATTTGTTTCTTTTACGATATATTGATAATTGTTCATTTTATTTCTTGAGAATTGAATCTGCTTAAATGTGGTCATGTGATTTTACAATGACTATAGAGAAAATCATGTTTTTCCTCTAGAACTTTGAACAAAAAATGCTGAAGAAAGGAGGATCATGGATTCAAGAAATAAATATAACTGAAAACAATTGGTATCCTCGGCAGAAAATAAATTACGCTAAGAGAAAGTTAGCCGGTGCCAGTCCTGCTGTTATTACTTGGTAAGACTGCCATTTTTGGAGAAGACATACAGAACACCAACATGCTAGTTATTGAAGACTTACTATCTGCCATATAAAGTACTTACATTTATCCTATGATGCTAGTATTACCCTCATTTTACAAATGAGAAGAATCGGTTTCAAGAGGTTGGCTTCTCCAAAGGGAAGTGCTTTAAACAAGAAATGTTATGTGTGTTACCCCCAAACTCTGCCATGTCCCAGAGTATTCTCAGAGGAAATTGAGCGTTCTTAGATTATAATTATTGTACTTTATACACCATGAAGAGATTTAGGTTTTAAATTTGCTTTTGTCCTTTTAAGGAAATCCTGGTGGCCATGTTACTGATGTGTAGAAAGATATAGTGTGGGTTTGTTAGATATATATCCAAAGTGCATTGGCTTTTTGATTCGTTTTTTTAAATTTTTTTCTTGTTGTAGGCAAAAGCAAATGGAAATATATAGAGATGATTCACAGGAATGAGAAAAAGTTGAGCATTAGAATTAAGTAATAGTAAAATGGTAGCCTTAAAGAGTCCTGGTTAAGCACTGGGCTACTAACCCAAAAGTCAGTAGTACAAACCTATCAGCCACTCTGTCGAGCAAAGCTATGGCAGTCTGCTCCCTTAAAGAGTGCAGTTTGGGAAACCCTCTGGAGCAGTTAGTTCTGCTCTGCCCTACAGAGTTGCTATGATGCGTCAGAATGGACTCAACAGCAATGGGTTAAATGGCAATCTTAGATCCATTAATTTTCTACAAGGATGCTACATGATGAGAAAGGCCACATGATGAGAAAAGAAGAGCTTTTGCAATAAAGAGTAGTAGGCAAGCTGGATACCCACATGGGAAAGACTGAAGTTAGATCCCTACCTCACAGCATTTAAAAACATCGACTCACAGTGAATCAGCAACCTAAATGTAATAGCTAAACTATATTAGGAGAAAACATAGAGGTAAATCTTCATGATCTTGATTATGGCAATAGTCTTCAATAGCCACCAAAACCCAAGCATCCAAGAAAATATAGATAAGTTGTATTTCAGCTGAGAAGATGGTGGTCATTGTGACCCTCCTCTACAAGAATAACAAGGAAATGGTGCTCAACCTTGAGAGACTCTGAACTGGGTAGCACAGGACCACATCATGGAACTGCACACAGGCAAGAATCAATGAGCCATATATGATAGGAAAACTTCTTCCCCCAGCTATTCAGGTCACTGGCTACTGTGAACTGGGGAGGAAACCCTAGCATAAAAGTCTACTTTTCTAACCACCACAAAAAATTAACACCCCACACTTCTACTGTAAAACGAACAAGACTGATTTCTCCTGGGGGTCAGTTTGAATTATGCCAGAACCTCCCCGACCTGGACACTGTTGGAGGCAAGTCTGATTTGAATTGCTACAGAAGACCCCCTACACTGGAATCTGCTCCGTAGTCAACACTGTGCCTCTCTGTGTGCTCAGGCTTCCACGACCAACAGGACAAACCTTCTAGGGGTAGGTTTTGAGTCTGAGGACTGCTAACTGAGGCTACTGCATGCTGGAAACCAGGTGTTTTGAGTGGAGACTGCACTCTCAGCAAGTGCACTACTGGTGGATCTCTGAGAGCAACACCGCAGACCTCTGTGGGAGTCCGATTAGAGTGTGACACCTGTAAATGTCACTGATAGGAACTGCAGTGAATCACTTAATATGACCCCTCAAGCTATACGGTTTGGAACTCCCACCAAACTCAGTAGGACTATGCAAATGTGAGGTGCTTGCGGACCACTATAGGGACTGGATGGCTTACTAATACTGTAAATATGATGCATAGGGAGGCGGGGCTTGATGATGGCTAGGGTGGAGGTGCCCTCAAAACTCTGAAGTTCGCCATCAGAATAACACAGAATACCAGGCAAAGCAGATCCAGGACAGAGCTCCAAAACTCAGAACCACAGAGATAGGAATATTTTAAAAATTTGAAGGCTTATATCTTGTGGAACTTTGAGCTGAAGTAAAAAAATCACACACTTTTGAATCTGCTGGGCCGGGCTCGGAGGCCCAGAGCTGACATGTTGGGAAAGACCAAATGACAAGACCAAGCTAGGGGAGCAGAAACACCACAGAAAAAAGCCGCGGGAACCTTGGGGCAAAGGTGGACAATACACCTTGTCAGTTTTGCTTTGTTCTGATTGTCTTTTCTTTTTTTGGTATCTGGTCATTAGTGCACCCACTGTTTGCCCACCCCCACCCTCACCACTAGTGGGTTCTTCTGCCACACATGCGCACAGATACTCAGCCCAAGAGCAGGCCCTGAACGTTTCTTATTTGTTTGTTTTTTGTTCTGTTTTTTAATACAGGAAAGGGCAGGCCAGGGCTGTGGAGAGGGAA